GACAGGGGGGGGGGGGGGGCTAATCAGGGTTCATTTTAGCAGGTGCTTGAAATGGGATCTAATATGAAATAAATTATTATGTCACCTGACCCCACTGCTAGAGAGAGTGAGCAATGAAGAGAAAGAAAGCACAGGAATCCATTTCAACACAGGCTACAAAGCCAGGGTCTCTGGCATTGAGAATGTATTCATTAATTAGATTTGTTGCCTATTCCGCAGCTTGCAAGATCGTCCAATACGTTGAAATGTCCACAGTAATTATAAATAACAAAAAATGAAACTTGAGAAGTACATATAGGACAAACTGGATAAAGTCAAATACAAAAATAATACCCCCCTCCCAAGTAGCTAATAGGTGACAGCAGTCCCAGTTCAAATGCTCTTCTAAATAACTTGGTTTTGAGCAAGTTATGAACTGCTAATCAGGCGAGATGGACGCTGATTGTATCTCAAGGGGAAGGGTTTTTCACGGAGAGAGGCCAGCCACAAAAACCCACTGTCCCCCCCCATTTTTTTTTTAAAAGTCTGTATCCAGGTAGATTGGCCACCAGTGTTTGGGCAGATGCTTAAAACATGTGGCGCATGCGGGGAGTGAACAGTCTCCTGTTGATGAGCATCGTTGCAGGCACAGAAGCTGCGTCCCCCCCCTCCCCCCCCAAAAAAAACCTCCAGGGCCATAGCATTCCTACCTTTGGAGAGCTGGGTTTTCCTTTCCATGTCTTTCTGCCTAAGTGGATTATCCCCATTAAGAAGGGGGAAAAAAACAGATGAGAGGTGATCTGGTGACTAAGGACAGTGGAGTCAGTTGGATGCTCTGTGAAATCACAGGGCTGACTTGCTGGAAATGCAGCTTCAGTGGTCTGCGGCTGTGTTTCTCAACCTTGGGCACTCGAAGATGTCCGGACTTCTGGCTGAGGAATTCTGGGAGTTGAAGTCCGCACATCTTCGGGTGGCCAAGGTTCAGAAACACTCGTCTATGGGGAAACAGCCTAGAGGGCATCTTTAGACGTTCATAGAATCTTGGGGCTGTTGAGCCCAACCCGTTGCTTAGGGTGGGAATCCAAATTAGACCCTCCCGAATGGACAGGTTGTGCAACCCCTGCCTGAGCGGAGGGAGCCCAGGAGGGTCTTCCTATCAGGAGACTCTTCCCAGCATCTGACTGAATCTGCCTTTCTGACCCTTGAATCCGTTTGTCCTCTCTGGCAGTGGAGGACAGGTCATCGCCTTCTTCCCAATGATACAAGCCTTTGCAGTTTCTAAGAGAGCAACCTTCTCCTGGCCCTTCCTCCTCTTCCCAAGGCTAAGCATACGCAGCTTCCCCAATCGTGTCTCGTCCATGACGTTGTCTGGAAAGGAAGAGAATGGAACAAGTGGCAGGAGAACTGGAGGGCTACTGGTAGAGGAGGCCCTTGGAAGATTGTCTGAGGACCACAGGGCAGCTGAAGAGCTTGATGGCCCAGGCTGTCATCCTATGCGCCGTCCTTAGGAATCAGATGCATTTTTTAAAGGCAGGGCATGGGAAAAAAACAGACTGCTCAGGACATGTAAGGGTGGGAGCCATCTCCATCTTGGAGGTCCATCTTGGGATTTTGAGAGGAGCCTTTTCTCCATGTAACTGGGTTGCAGCTGGCTTGGGGATTTAGCAAGCCCCGTTCAGTGTGAGAGCTGTCGCCTGATTCTGCCTCTGCCACAGTGAGGCCTGGGAAGCCCTTTTCTACACCCCTGAGGTTCTCTGGGTGCTGCAGAAGCTGGGTTTGATTTGAGGACAGACCGCCCATCCCAAGGGGTGATCATGTCAAAGGGATGTGCTAGAACCCCTCAGGTCCTGCATAAGAGGCCTAATTATCCTTGTGCGCCTCCCTTGAGGTATGCTGTGTGGAGTGGGCTCCGTTTCCCTGGAGCTGGGAAGCATTTGCATCTGTCGGCCATTAATGGAGTCCAGGAAGCCACAGGCTTCATTGCTAAGAGGGAATGTAATTGGCATCCAATAAAGTGGGGGGGAGGGGCAGAATTTAAAAAATTAGCCACGGTCTGCCCGGCTGACCCTGGATCTGGTGATCAGCCTCCATTCCCTGATTGTCTTAGCTTACAGAATGCAGATGACGGCAGTAAGGGAGAAAGGAAAATACCATTTTTTTTCCCAGCTTCCAGGTCTGGCCTCTACCACTGTCAGACTAAAATGCTGCTGATTAACTCAATGTGCCAATCTTGTGGTTCCAGGTGCCGGTGACGTTCGATGACATGTCTGTCTATTTCAATGAGAAGGAATGGGAGAAACTGGAAGAATGGCAGAAGGAGCTCTACAAGAACTTGATGAAGGGGAACCATGAGTCTTTGATCTCCTTGGGTAATGGTAGCCTGGTCCTCTGGGCCCAGCTTTACTCCAGCCACGGGTTTATCGGCCCAGTTCTTCGTGGACTGTCCGCTTATCTTTCCCACACTGCTTGCTTCATCTTGCTCAAGCTGTTTCCACACTCGGGAAGTATGAGTGTGGAAACAGCTACCTTCTGCCCAAATTTTGTAAGGGCAGCGGCTGAGACACTGGACTAGGAATGGGGGACCAGCCATGGAAGTACCCCAGGGGACTTGGGGCCAGTCCCTCTCTCTTGGCCCAACCCACCACAGGGTTGCGGTTGTGGGGAAATCTAAAAGAAAAGCGGGCAATCCATCTAAGAAATCAACCGATCAATAACAGACAGACGTATATGTATGCGCTGACATCATGATGTGCTGGTGGCACATTGACTTTACTATGCAAAATGGTGTGTTCTTTGCAGTTATGGGAACCACAGAGGCGTCTCTGCTGTTGGGTTAATTAAACAGCAATTTGGACTCCAAAATAAGATCTCCATGCAGGTTCCCCTCTTCTAGATGGCACCCTTGTAGCCATCCTTGGTGTATGTCCTTGCTTGGCATCCACAATTGGGACCGGCAACTCCATTGCTAAGTGCTGTGGTCACTAAGCAGAAAATCACATGACCGCAATGGGCTTACAATATCACCTCCCATTTGGTTATTAAGTGAATCACCGCAGTTGTTAAGCAGGACATCATGTGACTGCAACTTATGATTTTACTTCCATGTTCTCCATTAACTCTGCTTGTTGCAAGCCAGTTGTGAAGCACCTGAATGGCAATCATGTGACTGTGGGATGCTGCGATGATTGTAAATGAGAGGATTGGTTGCAATTTACACTGTTGTAAGTTTGAATGGTCATTAAATGCAGTCAGTAAGCAAGGACTACCTGTAGTGCACCTCTTCCGTATTTCCTCCTTTAGTGGACTTTTTGTGGTAGGAAGGGAAAAAAGAAAAAGTCTGCAGGAGAATATAGAAGAGGAACAAATGGAAAATAATGTAAAATTTAATGAATGAGGCAGAACAAATGTTCAGTAGAAGTCTTCTCTAGAGGAACAGCTAGCCTACTCAGGTTTTAAAATACTAAATTAGGGAAAAGTATGTGTTTCTTTTGTCATATATAAATATAAAATCAGCAGGAACAGAAAATGCTGTTTTGAAAATGTATCCAAAATGTAGTAAGCCTGTTTCCTCCCTAATCTCATCTTCTCCTTCTTTTACAAAATTTGCAAGAATTCTTTTTCATCAAGGCTCCCCCCAACGTGCGGGGAAATGACCCTTCCTCTTCCAGCAAGGGCGCCTTCATGCAGTGCTTCGGAGCTGTGCAGCTGGAGCCCGCTGAAGGAAAGCGGCTTCTCCTCTTCCCATCTCCCTACCTGCTCCATTTTTTTTCATTGTCCGGGGCACAGCATCCTCCCTTTGTTCTCAAGCGCAGCTTACTGCTACCTTTTTCCTCTTCCCTCTCAGTAGCCGACTCAAGGGCAATCTCTCGGACACGAGCCTCTTGACCTGGCTCTAGATCCAGGGGGTCACCCGTGTCCTCTTCCTCCCACAGACTATGCAATTTCAAAGCCGGGTGTGTTATCTCAGACAGAACGGGGGGCTGACCCATGTCTTGGAGACGATCAGGACTCGGAAGAGCAGGGCAGCCTTCACGATCCCACAGCAGGTGAGTGCCTTGAACAGGCCAGAGCTGGGGTGGGGGTGCTGGGGGTCCGAGTGGTGTGCCCTGCTGGCCTCTCCTGGGGAGAGATCTGCAAGCAAGCAAATTAAGTTCCTTTTGGATCAGGTGGGGCTCTGTCCAGACTGACCTGCTTTGCTCTGTTTTCACTCTAGGGCAGCGTTCCTCGACCTTGGCAACTTTAATATATGTGGACCACACATCTTAAAGTTGCCAAGGTTGAGAAACGCTGCTCTAGGAGCTCATAAGCCTAGAGAAGGACCAAACCTGGCCCTTGGTGAGGTGGGTGAAACCTGCTGGAGGCTTGCATACCAGCTCGGCCCTACAGTTGCCCCGCTGAACATGGGCAATGTGGTGCCAAATGTCAGCAATGTGAGGGAGGAAGGGGGGCCCCACATGGCCACCTCTTCTCATGTCCTGAGTCCGCAACCGCTACCTGGGGCAGCCAGCGCGTGTTGATAGCAGGCCAGAGCACGTGGCCTTGGCTTTCCCTCGCTCAGTCCTCCGTGGAGCCCTCAGGAAGAAGTTGGGCCCACGCGCCCCTCGGCCGGCTTCTTTTCCCTTAGGCAGGCGGGTGGCAGGAAACCGCCCTGGCCTCGTCTGCGCCCAATGGCACAGCTTCGTTCCACGGCCTCTTTCCTGCCGAATGCCTGCGTGGGAAGACGCAGCTGGATTCCCAAGAGCAGTGCCAGGGCAGGGCGGCCCTCCCGCAGCGGCGCAGGAACGAGCTGTACGCAGGAGAGCCTCTCGCCGCCTTGAGCCAGGGCACCCAGCAGGCGCGCTTGTTGCCAGCTTGCCCAAAGGCAGCCTTCTCCAAGCTGCCGCCAAGTTGAAGCCTGGCCTCTCTGGAGGAGCCCTGTTATGCTGTGGCTGTGGGGCAGGTTCAAAAAAGTCAAGATGGTGGCTGTAACGGGGCGATCGAAGCTCTGCCTGCTTTTTAGGTGCAATGCGCAGGCGGGACTCCGATCGCAGCCTCAGAGGGCTTCTCCTGTGGCGCCCCAGTGACGTCTCCTCTGAAATTTCCCCACTGCAGCCGGCATCAGGGTGGTGATCAAAACCGAGGAGCCCCATTCTGACGACTGCCCAGGAGACCTGGAGCAGCACCAGATGTCTGGGAGTTCCGAGGGGGATTTCCAGGGCCTGGACCAAGAGGCCCCCTGCGGAAGCCCCTACAGCGCGGCCACCCCGCTGGGGAACTTCGCCGGGAACAGCCTAGAAGAAGGAAGCGAGTATGACATGGGGTTTGGGGAGATCAAGAGAGTCACTGTCCAGCACAGCAACTGCACAGGTGAGTGGAGACTCCCCATGTGGTGGCCCTCTGCCCCTTGGGGTAAAGGAAGCTGCCTGGAGAGGTGTGCCCCATTCACCGGATGGATGGAAGGCAGAGAGGGGAAGGGGCCTGCGGCCCGCCGGGCTCAGCTTCCCAGGGGACGCTCCCGGTCCCGTTGGCTGGGACGCTTTGAACCCCTCAGCCCATGGCTCCACGCACACAAGGCCTCTCTGGGATCTGAAGCCTCCCCCCTCGGTCAAGATTTATCCTTCCACGCCCCGTTCACTCTTCCTCCCTGTCTTTGTTCTGCCCTTCTCCCCCGTCCCTTCTTTACGTAAGACCAAGCCACCTTTCCAACCGGTCACCCTCGTTGGTATTCAGTCCACGTTATTTATTCTTGACCCTGTTTGGCACAAGGGCTGGTGGCAATGTGCGTCCGAAAGGGGCAGGGTTGTTTCTTGATGGGGAGGTGCTGCTTTTGGCGTTCGCCCCCCTCCCCGTAGATGCCTGCTCCCAATTCCACTTTGCTGGACTTCCTTTCCTGCTCCCGACCCACCCAACTCTCACTGTCCTCTCACAAACTGGACGGAAGCCGCCTCTTCCACACAGCCACTGTTGCTTCTTTTGACCGAGACTTATTCCGTGCAATACACAATATGCCTCACTGGCTTTCTGTCAGCATTTGCACATCTTAAAAGTTTTCAGTCCATGTCTCCACCCTTAGTAAATATTCTTCCAATATATACAAATCCATCTACTTGTTCTAATATTTGCCTTTTTTTGTATCATGTGCAATCATTCATCTTCCCTGTCAAATACAATTCTTTGAATCTCTGAAACGTTAATTCCAGATTCATATTCCTCACTGCATCATATAGCCTCTCCAACACTCACTGCAAATCATTTGAATTCTCACCCAATTACACAGAAGTACACAGCCCCAACCATCACATTTCTAACTCGGGCACATTCTCCCTTAAATACATTAGACAATCAAGGGGATATCACGTGTCTCTGTTCCCTGCTCACTACTGAACCATTTACTAGGCGCTCCATTTATTCTCACACATGCTTTACTTCCGCCATATGTTGCTGTTACCACATTCAGCAACCAACCTTCATTCAATTCCATGTTCATGCAATGCCCTAATTCAAGCTGCCCCAAGTTTATCATATGCTTTCTGCAAATTGATAAACACACAGGAAACATTTGCGTTCATACATTTCTCAATAGCCTGCCGGAGCGCAAATATCTGGCCTGTCCATCCCTGGTGGGGTGTAAAGCTGCACCGCCCTTTCCAACATTTGCCTACTCTCGCTTTAGTCATTATTCCGCCTAACACTTTCCCAAGCATCCTTAACAAATTAATTCCCTGGCTGTGTTTGCCCTCCTTGTTGCTCACTTTTGCTCCACTGAGGGGAACAATAAGAGTCTTCAGCTACAGGCTGAGTGAGTCACACAAACACTCCACGTGCAAACCACAACCCTATTTTAATTTATTTATTTGATCTCCCGGGCTGCCCAATTGCCAAGCAACTCAAAGTGTAGCTCAGTTGCACCATTTTTTACACTATGGATGAATTAAATTAAATTAAATTAAATTAAATTAAATTAAATTAAATTAAAGGCTGCTCCTGCCCCTGGGACAGCATTTCCCCCTGCCAA